CACAATTGTGCTCATTTCACATGCTAGCAAGGTTATGCTTAAAATTCTACAAGGCAGGCTTAAGCAGTATGTGGACTGAGAACTCCCAGAAGTGCAAGCTGGATTTTGAAGGGGCAGAGGAAGCAGAGACCAAACTGCAAACATGTGCTGGATTATGGAGAAAGCTAGAGAGTTCCAGAAAAACATCTACTTCTGTTTCATTGACTACGCAAAAGCCTTTGAGCTTTGGTAGATTCGTAATTTGGGGAACCGGGTTCGTGTCTCCGCTCCTCCACATGCAGCTGCTGGGTGACATTGGGCTAGTCACACTTCTTTGAAGTCTCTCAGCCCCCCTCACAGAGTGTTTGTTGTGGGGAAAGAAGGGAAAGGAGAATGTTAGCCACTTTGAGACTCCTTAGGGTAGTGATAAAGCAAGATATCAAATCGAAACTCTATTTCTCTTCTTCTTCAACCACAGCAAACTATGGCAAGTTCTTAAAGAAACGGGAGTGCCTGATCACCTCATGTGCCTCCTGAGAAACCTAGACAGCATCTTAAAAAGCAGAGACATCACCTTGCCGCCAAAGGTCCTTATAGTTAAAGCTATGGTTTTCCCAGTAGTGATGTATGGAAGTGAGAGCTGGACTATAAAGAAGGCTGACCGCCAAAGAATTGATGCTTTTGAATTCTGGTGCTGGAGGAGACTCTTGAGAGTCTCATGGATTGCAAGAAGATCAAACCTATCCATTCTGAAGGAAATCAGCCCTCAGTGCTCACTGGAAGGACAGATCCTGAAGCTGAGGCTCCAAGACTTTGGCCACCTCATGAGAAGAGAAGACTCCCTGGAAAAGACCCTGATGTTGGGAAAGATGGAGGGCACAAGGAGAAGGGGACGACAGAGGATGAGATGGTTGGACAGTGGTCTTGAAGCTACCAGCATGAGTTTGACCAAACTGCGGGAGGCAGTGGAAGACAGGAGTGCCTGGCGTGCTCTGGTCCACGGGGTCTGACACGACTAAACAACATGGGGTCGGACATGACTAAACAACAACAACTTGTGTTCCCACAATCATATGTAATTACACCCGTATGCAGCACTTTGGGACTAACAAAGCGATGGCCCATTTCACACTTCTGCTTCTGGAAGTGAAAGAGGGAGTCGCTTAGGGAAGAGAGCCAATGGAGAGCATCTTGCCCAAGGACCTCCCAAAATCTGGAACTAGCACATTTCGGTGTTAAGAACTGGACTTTGAACAGTTTATTCCCATTTTTATAATCACTTATTTAGTGGAAATATTGTAACAAACTTAATTAGAGGATTACCCCATTGTATCACTAGAGTTAATATGCATGGACTTGGTGACCATAAAAATGTGTCACTTGTGCTTAATTAGAAGGGAAAGGGAGATAGATGCAAGTGCTAAAGAATTAGAGTTCAATTAACTTAAAAGTCTTCTAGGCATTATAAATGCCATCTGCCATGTCAGGCTCTGCACCCTGGCAAAAGAACTTCATGATACCTTCAGAATCAATAACAAATAAACCCCGTGATATGCTTAACAGCTCAATGGAGGGCATCCTTTGCCCTTCCCAGATATTAAGATCAGGCCCTTGGAAGTAAAGGATACTTTGGTACAAATGCTGACTAATCTCTTTAAAATTAAGCCTTTCTAGTAGCAAAGCAGTTCTATTGAACAAGGTGACATCTATTACCCAGTCAGATCTCAAGTGCATATTTCTCATACGTTGTTAATTAAGCAGTTCAGGAGATAGAATTTGATATGCATCAAGCGAATTATTTACTTTTCATACCTCTGAGCATGTAGATTCACTGCACTGATGCGCATTGCTAATGTTTTGATCTGTGATACTATTGTAGTGGTCCTCTCTGAAGACTTTGCCCTTTTGCAAACTTCTGCAATTGCAAAGCAGGTGGATTTAGGACTGAGGTGGCATGGGCATGTGTTAGGATACAAGCCTCAGGACCGCTCATCTCTGGGTCTCCTTCACACACCCATGGACAGGTGGGGCCAAGGTGCTATCCCACATGGCTATAGTATAGGTGTGGATGCCATAGACACGTCTCTGTGGCGCAACAACCAGGAGGAACAAGGGAAGTAGCTTCCAGGCTATTGACGTTTATGTGCAGAGGCATGGACAGCACTGAGGGTGAACTTCCTTCATTACCTACATGAATAAATGCATGTTAATGTTGTTTGTTATTATTTATATGATGAATGTGTTGTTTTTTCCATGTGTTATATTAGACAATATATTAATGTATTATGTGACACACACACACATTTTTGTCCCTGGAATCAAATAGAGTTGGAAGGGACCTAAGGATCATCTAGTCCAACCCCCTGCAATGCAGGAAATTCAGATAAAGCATCGCAGGCAATGGCCATCCAACATCTTCTTAAAAACCTCCAAGGAAGGAGAGTCCACAACTTCAGAGGGAGCCCATTCCAATGTTGAACAGCTCTTACCATCAGAAAGTTCTTCCTGATGTTTAGTCAGAATCTCCTTTCTTGTAACTTGAAGCCAAGGGTTTGGATCCTCCTTGGCTGGAGAAAACAAGCTTGTGTTTGTGTGCATTTAGTGTAAGTGACTTGGACTTTGGGTGACAAGCAACTAAGTTTAAAATAAATTTAAAATTAAATGTACAAGTAGGTCCCAATCATGGGTCACAGTTCACATTAAAGGTGCTAGCATGAGATGTAACATGATGACTATCTTCACTGGCAATATACTGCTGCCCACCAACCCAATCTCTGAACAGCATGTGATTCCAGGGGTCCCAGGGTCTGTGTTTCCTTTTGGGAATGAGGCCCAGCAGAAACTGTGACGTCTTTTTGGTACATGGCCTTTTGACACATATATACAACCTGAGCCTATGATGGAGGGGTTCACAATGTTAACCCTCCAAGAAGGTCTTGCTCCTGCCATAGGGGCAGCCTTGGATTCCTGGACAGAAACCAACCATCATGCTCTAATCCTTTCCCCCAGATGTCCAACCTGCAACCTGCAACCTTTTCCCCCTTTGGGTCACATCACAGCCAACCCTCCTAAGGAATTCTGAGCTGCAGGGATGGTTCCCCTTTGCTTAATGGCTCAACCGCCAGGCGATTGTCTCTTTAAGAAACTGGCCTGTCTTATAGTTTAATCATTGGATCCAAGGGCTCAGGAGAATAGATTAAAGATTTAATTTTAACATTCCACTGCAGGGGTGTCCTACTTCCAAGAGACTGCAATCTACTCCCACTATAAATAAACTGGCAGTGATCTACCCATTGGATTGACCAGAATTGTTGAGATCAGAGTTGAGCTGGGGGGGGGGGGGCAATCACTGGAGATCACACAATCGACCAAGATCGATGAGGGGCAGCCTACGATTGACCCATAGATAGCGATCGACCTGTTGGACACCCCTGCTCTAATGGAATTTAGGGGAGTCTGGCACCCACAAACTCTTATTATTTGAGCCTCAGCATCTCAAAGAAAAAATAGACTCATCTTATTGCTATGACTATAATAAAAACCATTTATTATATTTACTCTGCCCATTGGACTGGCTTGCCCAACTGCTTTGACCTTAATTATTTTATTATCCTGTGTTTAGCTCAAACTGCTAATCTTCCCTGTCCAATCCTCAATAAAACAATGACCAAGACAATGATTTCCCTAAGAAGCCGTTGCCATGAGTTTCATATTCTGGGTTCCCCGTTTTCAGGAGTGCATGGAATGTAAGGAGTGAGTGCCATGTTCAAATCAGTGTATTTTGGGGCTGGCAGCAGAGAATTTATTCTAGAACAGGCATGTCCAACACCTCGAGCATGATCGACTCATGGATCGCAGGACTGATTTTCGTCGATCGCAGGCTGAGAAAGAAAAGCCTTTCTCTGCAGCCTCGGATGCAGTCTCGTGCGAGCCTAAGCTCCTCCTCCTCCTCTAGCCAAGGAAGACAGCTTCCTTCCCTGTCTCCTGCTCTGCACTGCACTGGAGGGGGGGGTAGAGGGCCAGCGGGGGGCTGAGGGGGATGCAGTGCCTTGAGGGAGGGCTGGGGGTGGGGGGGTGTTTCCGCAGGGCATTAACTTAGGGGTGGGAGTGAAAACATGATTGGACTCAAAACGAAAAGCTCCCTGCCTGCTTGCCCAGTAGAAAGGAATAAAAAAGGAGCCCCTCCCCCCCCCCCACATAAACAGCGAGGAAGGCAAAGAACAAAACACCTGGAAAAAAGCCCCCTTAGCGCTCCATGAGTTTAAGCGAGGGAACAGCTTTAACGCAACAGAAGGAGAAAGACTGAGGTGGGGGGGAGGGAGGGAGAGAGAGAAGGAGAATCACCGAGCAAGGAAGGATCAACTCGGAAGGGAAAAAGCTAGCACACACACACAGAGAGAAGCTGGTTCCTCAGATTGGTGTAAACTAATATAAAAACATAGTTCGACTTTTCTCACTTCTTTAGTTAATTGTCCATCTAGCAACTTTTTGGATCTGTCATGATGATATCCAAACATAACTACTGTATCTGTGAAATAAATATGCATTTATTTACTTGTAAACTTAAATGACTTCAGAGAGTGGTAGATCACTGCCAGTTTTTGATAATTGTTAGTAGATAGCAGCCTACTTGAAGTTGGACATGCCTGTTCTAGAACGAACATCTGTTTCAGAGAAGGGGTTTTCCTCAGAACTTCAGCAAGGGAAGAAAGGGTTAGATCCCTGTGTGTGCCTGCTGTGACCCCAACAGAAAAACCTGGACATTAAAGGCAAATACACACACATAAGATCCAAGTCACATCTAGTCTGGCCCTCTGTACAGACAGTTGTGGGAGGGAGCTTTCGGCAGAATGGAGCCGCGCATCATGTAGCTAGATAGCTGAGGCTGATCCACCAAAGAAGCTTCTTTGGCAAACAAGTTCAGGGCTGAGTTTTGTTAATGCGTGTTTAAAACTAGGGTGTATAAAAGTCCTGCTGCACATTTTCCATTTAATTAATTTAATAATAATAACAACAACAACAACAACAACAATAATAATTTATTTATACCCCGCCCACTCTGGGCTGCTTCCAACAAAATACGAAAATACAATAACCTGTTAAACATTAAAAGCTTCCCTAAACAGGGCTGCCTTCAGATGTCTTCTAAAAGTTTGGTAGTTATTTTTCTCTACCGAGAAGGCCCTCTGCCTGGTTCGCTGTAACTTGGCTTCTCACAGGGAGGGAACCGCCAGAAGGCCCTCGGCGCTGGATCTCAGTGTCCCAGCAGAACAATGGAGGTGGAGACGCTCCTTCAGGTATATTGGACCAAGGCTGTTTAGGGCTTTAAAGGTCAGCACCAACACTTTGAATTGTGCTTGGAAACGTACTGGGAGCCAGTGTAGGTCTTTCAAGACTGGTGTTATATGGTCTCAGCGGCCGCTTCCAGTCACCAGTCTAGCTGCTGCATTCTGGATTAGTTGTAGTTTCTGTGGGAATGTTCTCCCCCCCCCCCAATAAATTATTATACATATGTGCTTGTTTGGACTTCCTTCAGCATCTCTGATAGTCTTCCGTCTTGATTATTTCTCCTGCACTTCTTAACTTAATATTGCCTTTACCTTTTCTAACAAATCATTTCTCCCTTTCCATTTTTATAATGTTTCTTAAATTACTCCTCACAGAACTTCTTGTAGTCCTACAAACGTAATCTGATCATCACAAATACTTTTCAAATACTCAGTAAATTTAGTCCAGTCTTCGGTAAACCTCTGGTCCCGCCGGTCTTGGATCCTTCCTGTTAGCTTGTCTAATTCTGCGTAGTCTATCAATTTCATCCTCCATTCTTCTAATGTTGGTAGTTCTTCTTGCTTCCATTTTTGGGCCAATAATATTTCTGTGGGAATGTTCAGGGATGCAGGAGAGGATATATTGTCTGATTATATCCTTATCCAACTTGTGTTAACAAGTTCCACAATTTCAGCAGAGTAACATTCCCCTTATTTTAAACTTTGCAACGGATGCGTTTGCTCAGGCTCACTAAAGCCTCTATAATAACTGTTCTGGTATTTGCATGTCGAGGTCCCCAGGTCCACCCCAATAACTCACCCATCACACAGAAGTCTTTGTTTAAGATTTTTGGCATAATTCTGGCCACAACTTTATTAAAATACAAATTTGTGAGTGGTTGCGTAGGCATTGGTTGCGACTATCTGCCCCCACCATGGGGGACAGACTGACATTCCGCATGATGCGAAAGTCAGAATGGGGGAATACACTTGGGGGTTACGCGGAGCAGGGACCTGCCCTCACCCCAAATGCAACCAGGAGCTCATTGCTATGGCCCGAGCCCCCTTGACAGAGTGGACAAGCAATAGTTAGCTCCCAATTCCTTTAACGGAATCCCTTGCAGCAGCAGCATTAGAGGGGCAGGCACAGCCAATCCATGCCCCTCAACCAACCAAACCATAAACCAATGCCTAACCGCCACCGAGCACTCAAGCTTGCCGCCAACCACTCACAACTGCAACCCCACCTTCAAACCCAACACAACAGAATTTAACCATGTGTCATTTCCCAACGGGGAAAGATGCACACCATCGTCCCTGAAAAGGACGGCCTCCATGAAGGTGATATTGGGGTGCGCAATCACGGAACCACCATGAGCAATGACTGTTTTCATTGCCACCTTATTAACGCGCTTTCTGGCTCCTTCAGTGGCAGCTGGACAGCGACTGCCATGCCAGGTGCGCCTCTGCAGCAACTGGGACCAAAAAACTTTCATACCTGGTAAAAACTCTGCCAATTCAACTAAGTCCCTTTGAATTGTAAAGCGTAAAGAACAACAGTCTGTGGTGGCGGGCAGATCGTTTTCCCCCAACTGGAGCACGACAGCTGAAGGGGGCCCTTCCAACCTCACGTGCTTCCGAACAAGGGGAAGCAATTCGGCCCACAGCATTCCACGTCTGGTCAGCCAGGACACCTGCACGTAATGAGGCAGGCCAAGACTGGGTCCAAGTCCAGACTCCCTCGCTCTGATGCTGGCCCAGTGGACAATGCTGTGGCCCACCATCCAAATGCAAACAGCCGCCACACCTAAGAAAGACAAGCAAATGTAAGTACAAGCAATCAACGATGGCTATGCACATAGCCGCGAAACGCATTAGACTTCCAACAACCCATGTTCTTAATTCTTTCTACAGACAACTCCCAATGAGCTGCCGAAGTGGCAGCACCAATGCAGAAAGAATGAGGGGCGTAATCTGCTGCCGTCAAACCACAAGCTGCAATCACTTTGCGCATTACCTTGGCAAATTGATGCCTGGCCAATGGGGCACCATTCTCGTGAATAAAGAAGGGACCCTCCCCCCGAGGCCTAAGGTTCAAATATTTGGAGGTATCCTTAACCGGGCAAGGACCTTTACCCCCAGTGGCGGGGAGCCTAAGAGTAGCACCCCGTCTAACTGGTCTGTCTTTGAATTCCGGATAGATAGGACCACCTCCGAAGGGGATAGAGTTACGTCCTGCAAAAGCAAACCCCTAGACTCTCTGCCCCGGATGACCTCCAATACCACCTCACCTACCCTCAGGGCACCAAAAAAGGCCAAAGAAAATGCTGCTGAAAAAAGCCGCGCTTCATATCTGGACCAGCAGACGCTCCTCAACTTCGAGCGCATGCTGGTAAGCAAATCAAAAGTTATAGGCTTTCTTACCAAAGGGGGTCGAGTTCCAAGCCTCCCCCAACCTTCCAGAGCCCTGCGCACAACAAATTTGGCGGAAGGATCCTTATTAAAGAAGGCTTTACAGAAAAAGGAGATGGCCGCTGCTTGGATCCTGAGCGTCCTGGCCACTCGACAAAATTGTAAAAGGTGCGCCAAATACTGCAGCACCTGTGAAGTAGAAGGAGATGACAAAATCTCCATAGACAAAGACTGACAACAACATTTTAAAAAGTCAGTCCAAGCTCGATTATATGAGCGCAGAGTGGAAGGTGAAATGGACGCGGCTACTCCCTGTAAGACTAATTGCTGCCAAGGTTCCAGAGATGATCCGGGAAATTTTCTGGCAGCAGATTCGCCTCTGGAGCAAGGGACCTGAACCGCTCCATCTGAAAACGGGACAGAGCATCAGCGATTTCGTTAGAAACGCCAGGGATGAATCGTGCTGAAAACACAATGTTAAAGCGCAGGCAATGCAAAACAAAAGCCCTGAGAAGGGCCGATACCCTGGCTGAACGGGACGACTGTTTTGCCAACACGTTCACAATGGCCTGGTTATCGGACCAGAAACAGACTCGATGGTCCTTGAATTCCTTGACCCACAGGTGCACTGCCACTGCAATGGGAAAGAACTCAAGAAAAGTTAAGTCCCGCGTAATAGGCTCCCCCTCGCCACGATGGCGGCCAGGGCAATGCGCACCAACGACCTTTCCAGTATAGCCCAAAACCCAGAGAGCCTGCTGCATCAGAATGCACTTGGAAGTCATTATGGAGGTTCAAAGTGTCCTGCCATAATGACACCCCATTGAATTCATTCAAGAATTCAAGCCATAACTGCAAATCCGCCTTTACACCAGGTGACAGCTGCACCCGATGATGAGGGGCACGCAAGCCGGCCGTAAGCCTGGCCAGGCGCGCACAGAATGGGCGACCGGGAGCCACCACCCTGCATGCAAAATTAAGGTGGCCTAATAAGGACTGCAACTGACGCAATGTCACCTTACGTAATGGGAGCAACTCCTCTATTATCCTTCGCAAATTAACCAATTTGTCCTCAGGTAAGCGAGATGTAGATGCAACTGTATCCAATTGGATACCTAAATAAGTCAATTGAGTGGAAGGTCCCTCGGTTTTATCCGATGCCAATGGGACACCCAACTCTTCCGTAAGAGATGCGAAAGCCTGAAGCAGGGCCAGGCAGTCACCCGTGTCCCTCACCGAGGCCAGTAAAAAGTCATCCAAAAAATGGGTCACCCCATCCAGGTCGGTTTTAAAACGCAAGGCCCAGTCGAGAAAAGTACTAAAGCACTCGAAAGCTGCGCATGAAATTGAGCAGCCCATGGGCATGGCTTTGGCAAAATAAAATGCCCCTTCAAACTGGAACCCTAAAAGCCAGAAATCCTGAGGATTAATTGGCAACAAACGAAAAGCAGACTCAATGTCGCATTTCGCCAGCAGGGCACCTGTCCCAAATTTTCTGATCATCTTGATCGCATGATCAAGAGTAGCGTATTTTACCGAACAAAGCTCCGGGGGGATAGCGTCATTTACTGATGAACCCCTGGGGTGTGATAAGTTATGAATAAGGCGAAATTCCCCAGGGGCTTTCTTCGGAACAATTCCCAAGGGGGAGAGATGCAGATTAGCGAAAGGAAGAGCCAGGAAGGGGCCTGCCATATGACATAAGGCAATTTCTATCTTTTTACGTGCCACTTCATGCCTTTCCCTAACTGACTGCTGATTAACTGGATTCCGTGCTACGGGGACCGTAGCTACCGGAATCCTAAAACCAGAAGAAAAGCCCTCCTGTAAATAAGCAGCTGCCTCACGGTTAGGGTAAAACTGCAACCAATGAACCAATTCTGGAAGCCGTACTGGCGTATAAGCTAAAACCATATCCGCCTCACTTAGAAGCGCCAGCTGCTGCTTGAGGGGGGGCCGCTTTTGCAGCTTGTGACCCCCCCTTTTCCCCCACGAAAGGGCCGCCGGCCGCCAAAGCAAGTGGAGCCCGGGTGGTTGCCACCACATTTTTCGCAGACATGAGGAAACCTACATGGTTGTTGCTGGCAAGAGCCTTTACTGTAATCCCAGCAATACAAGCGCTTTTTAAACCTCCTGTTTTTGGCTTTTGAGGTTCAGGGGTCTTCTTTTCAAACTGAGGGGCCACATAAGTGGTCCATACATCCAAATCCCTCCGATCCCATCGGGCCGTGGGAATTTTTGCTGCCCTTCTTCTGAAATTCTCATCATAATCAAAGGCAGCATTCTGACCAGCCATTTCGAACGCCTTACGTACGATGGACTGGTAGACAATTAAATGAAGCGCTCTCTTGGGATAACATGCTGAAACGATCCCGGCAAAAACCTGGAAACAATCCAACCAGCGCTCGAAGGTTCTATCCACTTTAGAATCAGCAGCCCGTTTCTTAGAGGATAGAACTGACTTCTCTTGGGCCTGCGAACTGTCTACTGGAGGGCTCAGTTTGAACATGTCGACATAGCGACCATTCAATATCCTACTTCTCAACTTCTTTGAAAGGTGACACCCTGGGATCACATCCCTAGCCGAATTAGTCGACTTCTTAATATCAGGTAACAACACCCCATCTAAGTATTCCTGAGTGGCCCCATATTTTGCTTGATGGGAGTTGGCCCTCCGCTCCCAAATCCATTTGGGGAAACCAGAGGCCGATTCTCCCAGACCCCAATAAAATTCTGAGGCGGCCTCTGACTCAGACTCTGAACTCTGCGAAGATGTACCTGTCGATGAAGAGGAGGTGTCCCTCTGCCTTCTCTTCGCACGCTTTCCGGAAGACTTCTTGCGGCGGCGTGTGCCGCCCGAAGAGGACTTGGCTGGCACAGGTAGGCTGTCCTCCTCAGAAGACTCTGATGCTGGACCCTGAAGTGCAGCGCCTGGGACAGACTGAGAAGAGGTGGCAGGTGACTGATCAGAACCCACGGAGGTACTAGGTAAGGGTTGCAAAGCTGACCCTGGCCTAGAAGACCCCCCACACCTAGAAGGGGCCTTTCCCCGTCGCCCCCTCCCGGTTGTGCGCCGAGAAGGGGTTCTGCCCTCCCGCGTGTGAATGCAGGGGCTGAGCCCGCATTCCGAGAAAACTGAGAATCAGAAAACAAAACACCAGACATGGGCAGATCATTTTCATCGCTAGATGCGGAATCAGAAAGTGAAGAAACTGCAGCCGCAGTGGTCACCGCTGGTTGCTGGCTAGGCCCGGCGCTACAGCGTTGGATCAGGCTATCTACTTCAGAAGCAAAGCGAGCCAAAGCAGCTGGATCACCCGCCAGGCTCGAAACCAAAGATTGCAGACACCCTGAGGCTTGACCAGTCGAGGGGGATCGAAGCAACTGAGAAGGTCCCTGAATGGTCCTTTTAGGTGGAACGGTCAAGGCAGGCTGCGCTGGGACTCTCTTCGGAGACATGATGGCTACCAAGAAAAAGAAATATCAACACGAGAAAAGAAGTTAATGCACCCCAGATACCTGGCGATCACAAAATGAACCAAAATAAAACAGTAAGCTACTTAATTAAGGAGCATCCAATTAACCAGAAGGTGCCTTTTCCTTTATTGGCCACTAGCTGGCAGCAAATTAGCTTCCCTGTACTAAAATAAAACAACAGGCTGCAATGCACAGAATGTCCACAAAGTGGCAGCAGTTTACAGTCTAAAGTATTTCTTTATAATTAAATCAGGGAGGCAGCAATGCTCAGAATGGCCACCAGATGGCAGCAATTATGAGCCTAAATAAAGCAATAATAAAACAGGCTGCAGTGGCTCAGAATGGCCACTAGAGGGTGTGCATGAGCAATTTAAATCAGGGAGGCTGCAATAAAGCAATAATAAAACAGGCTGCAGTGCCTCAGAACAGCCACTAGATGGCCTGCGTGAGCAATTGAAGCCCGGAAAATGGCATTCCCGCCAAAACGGAGCAGGGAAAGGCGGCTGAACACAACGGGCCTGCACCCAGGCCCAAGTTAGGCCGCGCCTGCCTGCCTGCAGCCCCGCCAGACACCAGGCCTCCCCGCTTCGCAGGGAGGGCCGCCGAGGACAAAAGAAGGCCAGATCCGGCCTCGGAAATCGGCGGGGAGGTGTGCGGGAGGGCGGGAAAGCCTAATAAGGCCCAGCAGGGCCGGAGGCACCCCCGCTTCAGCGCGGCACCAGGCGCTGCCGAAAAAAGGCCCTTCGTCCAACCAGGAACCAGGCCTAGGCAGCTGGGCCCTGCGGCTGGGCGCACTTCGCAGAGGCCTAGTGCCTCCAAACGTTAAGGTAAGCTACAGTGGGTGGGGTGGGGGGGGTAGGGGAAAATTAAAAGACTAAGGGGGGTGGGAATGAAGGGTAAAAATTTTAGAAAGAGAGAGGGAAAATTAAAATAAAATTAATAATTATTACACAGAGAGGAAACTTAATCAAAGGACAAAATTAAGAATTAAATAGAGCTAACGCAATTAAAGCAGGCCAAAGACACAAGGATAATGTGTAATTAGTAGAAAAATACAACCGTCTCCCTTCGCTGTGATCAATCCGATGCACGGGCGAAAAGAGGAAGCCCTAACCTCGAGCAAGGAGTTTTACTATTTCTGGCTGTCAATCAATAAATGGCAACATTAACTTCTTCCCAACAACAAGGGAAGCCCCAATCGCATCAGTGGCCAACGATCAATTAGCCCGCCCCCCAACTTTGGAATGTCCTGGCGGCCCCCACCGCAACACGTGCTCTCCATGAAGGAGAACACGCTTTCCCCCTTATTCCCTCATAAAATATAAGGGACAACACAGTCTTTTACAAAAGTATAAAAAGAGTTTACTCACATTCAGTTGACAATCAGATCCCAGAAGGCAGACTTAGCTTAATGAAGTAACATGCACTTGGAATCTATCTCATAAGAAGACAGTCCCTTTGTCCTCTCTTGGCTGGAAGCCAAGAGGGCATCTTTGGCTTAGTAGATGTTGTTTCTTCAATGCATGTGGAGAAAGAGAGATAGATGGCTGCCCTGCCCTGTGCTTTTGTCATTACCTGCACAGGTGAGGCCACACCCACCTCCAGTCACATGCAGAGAAAGTCTTTCCCAGCCCAGAAGGAAACAGGATGTTTACCTGCTGGCTGGACAAACATTCCTCCCCATGTGTAAACATGTTCACTCTAGGAATGTTGTACTTGACTGCTCTTGTGTTTCACATCCCACAGTTTCCAGGTCACCTTCAAAGGTAGCCCCACATAGAGCGCATTGCAGTAGTCCAAGCGAGAGATAACCAGAGCATGTACCCCTCTGGTGAGACAATCTGCGGGCAGGTAGGGTCTCAGCCTGCGTACCTGATGGTAAACAGCTGCCCTGGACACAGAATTAACCTGTGCCTCCATGGACAGCTGTGAGTCCAAAATGACTCCCAGGCTGCTCACCTGGTCCATCAGGGGCACAGTTACCCCATTCAGGAACAGGGAGTCATCCACACCAACCCGCCCCCTGTCCCCCCAAAATAGTACTTCTGTCTTGTCAGGATTCAACCTCAAATCTGTTAGCCGCCATCCAACCGCCTCCAAACACTCACACAGGACCTTCACCGCCTTCATTGGTTCTGATTTGAAAGAGAGGTAGAGCTGGGTATCATCCGCATACTGATGAACACCCAGCCCAAAACCCCTGATGATCTCTCCCAGCGGCATGTAGATGTTGAAAAGCATGGGGGAGAGGACAGAACCCCGAGGCACCCCACAAGTGAGAGCCCAGGGGTCTGAACACTCATCCCCCACCACCACTTTCTGAATACGGCCCAGGAGGAAGGAGCGGAACTACTGTATAACAGTGCCCCAGCTCCCAGCCCCTCTAGACGGTCCAGAAGGATGTTACAGTCGATGGTGTCAAAAGCCGCTGAGAGATCCAGCAGAACTAGGAAACAGCTCTCACCTTTGTCCCTAGCCCACTGGAGATCATCGACCAGTGCGACCAAGACAGTTTCAGTCCCATGATGGGGCCTGAATCCTGACAGGAAGGGATCCAAATGGTCTGCTTCTTCCAGGCGTGCCTGGAGTTGTTCAGCAACCACTCGCTCAATCACCTTGCCCAAGAATAGAAGATTTGAGACTGGGCGATAGTTGGCCATATTGGCATCATCTAAAGATGGTTTTTTTAAGAAGTGGTTTGATAACCACCTCTTTCACCCCACGAAGCCCATTGCCCAGCCCTTCCCGGCTAGCTTTTATTAGGAGACAGGTGGTTGGTTTCACTTGTCCAAGCAGCCTGTCCACAACCTCGGAGGTAACAGATTGGAATTGATCCCATGTAACAGGACCAGACAGAACTCTAGCACTCTCCTGCCCCAGCCCCGCTCCCACGGTGGAGTCTACCTCTTCCTGAATCTGAGCGACTTTATCTGCAAAAAACTTTGCAAAATCATTGCAGGAGATCGTGTGGCCTGTGCTGGGCCCCGGTGTAGAAGGTGGTTCCGCTAAATTGTGAACCACCTGAAAAAGTCTCCTGCTGCTGTTTTCTGCAGATGCAATAGAGGTGGTTAAGAAAGTCTTCTTCGCCGTCACTACCGCCACTTGGTAGGCTCGACATTGAGCTCTAACCTGTGTCTGGTCAGCTTCAGAATGAGTTATCCACCACCAGCACTCTAGCTGTCTCAAATATTGTTTCATTGCCCTCAGATCCGTGGAAAACCACGGGGCTGTCTGGGCTCCATGCAGTCGGAGAGGGCACTTCGGAGCCAAATAGTCAATAGCCCTGGTTAACTCCACATTCCAGCAGGCCACCAGGGAATCAGCTGAAAGGCCATCAACATGGGATAAAGCATCCCCTACCACTCTCTGGAAACCGTTTGGATCCATTAAGTGGTGGGGGGTGGACCATCCGAATCAGTCCCACCTCCCTGCAGAGGGGAAGGGTCGTGGAGAAATCCTGTTGCACCAAGAAGTGATCTGACCAAGAGGTCTTCCGGGTTAGCGCCTCAGGCAATGGTGGAATTCCTCTGATCGGGAGGAATCCGCTCCGTGGAAATCAGGGTCTGGCCGCCACGGCGAAGGCGGAGACCCACTAAAAACCACAGGCGGGAGAAGCTTGTGGACGTGGGATTCGGCTGGCACCTTTTGCGCCTCCCCGGTTTCGGGGATCCAGAGCGACGTGGGGTGAGTGGCGCCGTGCTTTGAATCGACTGCTTCTTTCACGGAGTGAAGCTGCATTGCTGTTGCCGGAGAGCGCTGACTTTTTCCTGTGGACAATTTGATCTTAAAACAACTACCCGTGAGTAGAACAGAAAATTGGATTTTTAAACGTCTTAATTTGGCACCGAACAGGGAGGTTTCAAACAGGAAGTCCGCCCCCCCTTTTGTAAATAGATTGAAGCAAAGAGGCTGCAAGCTAAAGCCTTGGAAAGTCTCTCATAAATGATTAAACTTCCATCGGTTAAATCATCAAACCCCCCTTGGAAGCAGGAGAAGAGGGGGGAAATTTAAGATCGCGTAAGCCTGCAGGAGAGAGTTAAGAAAGTCAAATTACCACCGCTCTGAACCTGGAAACGGGCTGCTAGTAAGATTGAAGTTTTGGATATGCTCATTGACTGTGAATAGATCGTTTGCTGACAGTAAGTTAAAGAAGAGAAATACATTGTTTCCATTGCCTCCTCCTGCATTTAAAAAGGAGTAAAAGTAATTGAAAATTGAAACTAACTTTATTGTTTGAACTGTGCTTAAAAGGATTGATACAAATAGAAACTGTTTCCCCCTAGAGGAAGCCTTTGAAATTGTTACAAGAGCTGAGCTGGGGAAATTTCCACCTGCAAGATAAAACTGTAGGAATCTGGGATTGACCTTGGACCGTTAAGAATGTTGACAGAAGAAGCCTTAGTGGTTGCATTATGTAAGATTAATGATTCACTGGAACAGCTTCATAAGATGACGGATGCGAGGACTATAAAAATTGATAACTTGGAACAAAAAGTGACTAATTTGGCACAAAAAGTCAATATCAATACAGAAACTATTCAGGAATCGATACAGGGATTTATTTTGACATGGCAAATTGAGGAGAAGGCGGGGGAGAAAGTTTTTGTTGTGGAACCTAAAGTGGCAGAAATGGAGAGGGAGAGAGCCCCAGCCTTACAGTTGCAATTTGATGATTATAAGTTGATGCCTTTCCAAGACTGAATTTAGAGAAAGTCAGACTTTTAGGATTGGAGCCCCGCTTGGACTGGAGAAAGAAAGTTGGATAGATCCCCTTATGCAGGGGTTTACTGACCTTTGGGACCTGGACTTGGGTCAGGAGGAGACTGGAGTTGTGGGGACTGCCAGACTTGGAGGAACTTTGAAACACGACTGGAAATATCTTTTGAATTTCAGTTCTAACTATGGAGATTTGGCTGATTTGTCGAGAAGGAATAAAATCATTGCTAGATGGGAATTTCCCGGAGATCTACTTTTTAGCATCAAAGGAAGGAAAATAAGAACAAGATCAGGAGAAGACAAAGTAATGTGCATGTATAAATATGAAGAAGACTTGCAGAAGGGACCTGGAAAAGAATTAAGAGCCTCGGACAGAAGATCACCAGGTTGATGGGCTATACGGAATTGACGGAAATGACTGGCAGAACCCGAGACCAGGGGGAAGAGACGTTGGAAGAATATTGGAAAAAGTTTAAAATCTATATATGGAAATAATGTAAAATTAATGAGTGTTAGAAAAATGTTGGAAGGGAATTATATGGCTTTAGTAGAAATATTTTAAGGAATTAAGTATAAATAAGTATTATAGTATTAATGGAAAATAAGGTTAAAATATGTTAAGATAATTACATGACAGAAAATAGAGAAAGATGGAAAGGATTTGCTGAAACAATTAATAGAAATGGAATACAAAAAGGTAGGTGAGAGGGGGTCGATGAAACAAGGGAATGAAAGAGGATATTGAGATGGTATGATGTGTGTTTTTTGAATTGTTTTTGCTCTTGTTTTGTTTAATGTGTTAATGTTAATGTTGCGTTCTGTATTGTTTATATATTGTATTGTATTGTTTTCTTTTTTTCTTTTCTTCTTCTTTTCTTTTTTTCTTTTCTTCTTTTTGTAAGGTTTAAAAGCAATAAATATATTTTTTTTAAAAAAAAGAAGTGATCTGACCATGACACTTCTTTCGTTTCACTTTTACTTCATGTCAGATCACCAACATCCATAGAGGTGAACACCAGGTCCAAGGTATGTCCGTGGCTATGGGTTGGGCCAGACTTATTCAGGGACAGCCCCA